CATATTATAGGGACCCCAGAAGGAGAAGAGAGAGAAAGGAGCAGAAATTCTAAGAAAACAATGGCTGAAAACTTTCCTAACCTGGGAAAGAAAAGAGGACAGACATCCAGATCCAGGAAGCACAGAGAATTCTAAGCAAAAGGAACCCAAAGAGACCCATACTAAGACAGATTGTAGTTAAAATGGTAAAAGTTAAAGATAAAGAAACGATGTTGAAGAAAGAGAAAAACAAGTTATGAAAAAAGAAAACGTGTATGATTATTAGCTGATAGCAGCAACTTTACAGGCTAGAAGGAGTGGTGAGACATCTTTAAAGTGCTGAATGAAAGGACCCTACAACCTAGAATAATATACCCAGCAAGGCCGTCATTCAGAATTGAAGGAGAGATAAACATTTTCTGGGACAAGCAAAAACTAAAGGACTTAATCACCATTAAACCAGCTTTACAATAAATGTTAAAGGGTCTTCTTTCAGTAGAAAAGGGAAGGCCAGAACCAGAAAAATTTTAAAATATAAGAAACGTAAAATCCTCACAGGTAGAGCCAAACATTCAGTAAATATAGCAATCTGACATCTTAAAAGCAACTACAAAAGTTAAAAGAAAAAAGTATCAAACTCAACTCAAACACAATATGTAGTTAGATATACACAACACAAAAGGATCTAAAATATGACATCAATAACATAAAACATAGAAGAGAAAGTAAAAATGTAGCCCTTATAGAATATATTCTAATTTAAACACCTATCAGCTTAAAATAGATAAAGAATGATAAACATAAATCTCATGGCAACCACAAACCAAAAACCTACAAAAGACATACAAAGAACAAAGAGAAAGGAAACTAAACAAAACACTAAAGAAAAACAGCAAACCACAAGGGAAGAGATCAAGAAGAGAAGAGGAGAACTATAGAAACAACTTAAAAACAATTAATAAAATGGCAATAAGTACATATTTATCAATAATTCCTCTAAATGTAAATGGATGAAATGCTTCAATCAAAAGACATATTAACAAATTATATATTCGATAAGGAGTTAATATCCAAAACTTATAAAGAACTCACAACTAAACACAAAAAAACAAACAATACAATTTTAAAAATGGGCAGAGAACCTGAGCAGATATTTCTCCAAAGAGGACATACAGATGGCCAATAAATATATAAAAGATGCTCAGTATTACTAGTCATCTGGAAAATGCAAATTAAAACTACAATGAGACATTACTTTACATTTGTCAAATTGACTAAATTGATAAATCAACAAACAGTATTGGCAAGAATGTGGAGAAAAGGAAACCCTTGTATATTGTTAGTGGAAATGCAAATTGCTACAGTCAATATGGAAAACAGTATGGAGTTTCCTCAAAAAATTAAAAATAGAACTACCTTATGACCCAGCAACCCCACCTCTAGGTGTTTATCCAAAGAAACCCAAAACACTAATTCAAAAAAAATATATGCACCCCTATGTTCATTGCAGTATTATTTACAATAGCCAAGATACAGAAGCAACTCAAGTGTCCATCGATAAAGAAAATGTGGTCCATATGCACAATGGAATATGACACAGTTATAAAAAAGAATGAAATCTTGTCATTTAGGACAAAATGGATGGACCTGAAGAGTATTATGCTAAGTGAAATGTTAGAGAAAGACAAATGCCATATAATCTCATTTATATGTGGAATCTAAAAAAAAAAAAAGTACCCTAAATAAATAAATAAAACAAAACAAAAACAGACTCATAAATACAGCTGATAGTTGCCAAAGGTGTGGGGGTGGGGGGATGGGAATAAAAATAAATTAAAGTAAATTAACCTAGGCAATGTATGTCCTAAACTGTCTAGGAGTGTTTTGAGGCTCAAGGAATATACTTTTTAAAACTTCATGGTAATGCCAGGATAAAATGCTTGAACATCACAGTTTGCTCTCAGAAACTACCAAAACTCAAAATTATTGAAGTGGCAAAAAAAGAGTTTTAAATAAATTGTGCAATGTCTATGCACACACGTGGGTATTACATAACGTGTATAACACACATATACACACACATGACCTCCAGAGGGGCTTGTTAGCCAACACATCTTCTGAATCCATCTGTATTCCCCCACCCCACCACTGCATTGCTCTTTGGTGCAAGTGACCAAAAACTGGATCTACGTAAATTTGGCACATTTCAAGGTCAAATGATTCAGCAAACAGAATTTGACCTCAAACAATGTGACTTTGTCCATTCACCCATCCACACAAATGTCCACACACACACCATTTTCCTTGCTACAACTCCATAAATGTCTATCCCAGAAGGTTACCTGCTTCTCCATCTAATGCTTACAGAAAGAAAAGGCATCTAGATGTGTTTGTTCCTCCCCTTCCATCTCCCACCCCCTATTCACTCAACATATATGTAACAGCTGTAAGAGCAAGAAGAGCATGTTTTAAAATTTCATTGTTTCAAGTAGGCACATAATTTGAAGCAGCTCCAAAATGGACATCAAGTTAAAAAAATACACTTTCAAAAGTCTATAATTATGTATTTACACAATTACAGATTATCAAGGAAATCATGCAAGGTGTAGTGTTCATGAGAAGAAACAGAATGAAAACACCATAAACTGAATCCAATCATTTATCTACACAACGGAATCTAGTGGAGATAGGTTCCCCAACCTGGCACGTCCTTCGACACTGCCTGGGATATTCACAAGATAGATGGGAGGGTGGTTCAATCATGTTAAATATTAACCAAGGTGCACATTTTGGCACCAATTACATAGCGGTTGGGTTGTCTAAACATCTGTTGGTGAAAACTGGGACCACCCATTCCACAGTAGCTAAGGGCTGCCAAGTGAAGGGCTCTAAGTCTCTTAGGCAAAGAACCAGATGCAAACCTCTGCGCTCACTCTGCTGCCCAATAGAACAATGCCCACCAGAACCCTGAGCAATCTACTCTCCCAGAACACTTATTTACATAAATTGCATAAGTCAATATTTATTTATTTACAGACCATTACAGTTTATTGTATCCATTGCCAAAAGCAAAAAAACATTTTTCTCTTTTTTTAAAAAATAGGTACCAAAACAAAATAACTCCAAATGTAGACATTAAAGTAGCATTTTTCTAGGAATGCATGGAGCTTTTAGTCTTTTTCACAAATTGTTTTCTTTATTTTGGGCTAATTGCACCTCATGCTACTTTACTTTTGGTTATCACCTAAAATCAATTTTTTCAGTGCTAAATATTGTACCTATGACATCCTACAAACTTGATTCATCCCTGTGGTCAGATGTTTAATGTTTCTCAGTCAAAAATATTAAATGCCTTTTGGAAGAACTAAAGCCTGAATATGTGCACATTTTAACAGCAGCAAAGAGTTAAGTAATAAATAAGACTACTACATCTAGGGATTAAATACAGTTTCTCTTTAGAAAGTTTAAAAAAAAAAGGGGGGGGACTAAATGAAGAGAACATTCTGACCTTTATCGTAAATTAACTATCTTACATTGCTCCAGTCCCCCACCCCCAAAATATTTCTTAATTCCAAAGGTTAGACTTAATTTTTCCTTAATGCCTATCAGCAGGAGGACTCTTCTGTGTGCTCCAGCTTGGACCTTAGAAGGGCCACTAATGTTCACGGCTATAAGTCATGGGCTTCTACTTCAAAACAGCTTTAACTCACCAGTGACATACCTTTATTTTTCATAGAGAATATGCATCACAGCAAAACAAAGTTGGAGTATTAAATTTTAAAATTAGCTACATAAATTCCAACACATTTTTTAACTGTCACTTTTAATTTCCCAACATAACTGACTAAAAACTATTCTCTATGGTATGAGAATTTGTTATAAACTCCTTTTTCTTAAATATTGCTTTAAGAATTTGGCTCTTTTCTCCTTAGATATAGTAAGGAATAGTCTCCCTTGCCCAAGGGCAAGTTCCAAAATTATTGCTACTAAATAAATATGTATTCTTAGGCTTTTCAGCATAAAATGTTATAAAAGCCTTGTAAAAGATATTCTATATAGTAACCTCCTCTTTAAAAATCTGAGCGCTTGTGAAGACCTTTTTAAAAGCAAAACAGTCAACAAATATAATACTTCTCCCTCATTGTCAATTATTAGTGAAGAGTTATTAGTTTCATTTGCAAGTTTTACTTGAAGGTTCTACTACCACGTATTATGACAGTTCACACCAAAATCAATTTTCCATTAAAAATGTTACAATGACCTCTATGGTACTTGTATAATTTCATATTTGATAACCAAATGTACAAATAAAAAGTTTACAAGAATGATCCTACTAATCTGGTTCAGGTGTCCCTTTAAAGAATAATCTGTGCTATGTAAGCTTTTTTTTTCCTTTTTGAGAACTCTAAATCAGTACAATGTTTGATGTTCATCCTGTTGTTCTAGAGACCAACTAAAATAAAAGCATGGCTACTGCTTAGCTTTGGTACATTCTGCAATAGATTTAGACGAGTCGGATATATACTGACCCTCATATTTTCCAACTGTGACATTACAAGGATGGCGTCAGTCACTTATGAGAGAGTAAATAGTACAGACACAGAATAAAAGTTTGAGACCCAGTTTATCTTTAATCCTCTGGGATAAGCTATGAAACAAGCATTCTGAAGAGTGAATACTCAGTGTCATGAATGATGTGCATAAGTTTACAATAATACGGGCACAAAAGAGATTGTCGCCTTCAGTACATTAAGGGTCATCAGAATTTCTCATATCCATGCAAAGTTATATTCATTTGCATGAATTCACCACAGGTTCATAGCAGACTTTCCCATTTAATGCTTACAGAGCCTAAGCTTCCAAAATGCCTATCTGGCCTGTACATATTTCATTAAAAATAAACTCTATATAATAAATAAATATATAAAATAAATAAAATGTTGCCTTTGGAATTTCTATAAATAAATTTAACTTTTTTTTTTTTTTTTTTTTTTTTTTTTTT